TAGCTAAAATTTGGTATGAGTAAACTAGACCTGATGAATAAGATGCTCTAAAAATTTCATCAAAAAAGTTCACCGAGAACCGCCCCAAATCGCGACGGCCGGACAAAGTCTCCTATAGAAGGATTTAATTGACTTTTTTCTGAAAGTTCGAGGACCTATTATGTCAATTTCAATACTATAAAACGGGCTCAAAAAACCATTCTAACTATTTAGGCCGGTGTGAATGCAATTCTAAAATAGTGGTCCATATCTTCTACTAATTCAACTTCGGAATCCATCTAAAAATTCACTCAGCCCATATCAATTCAGCCCATTTAAAAATTCTAGTTTGGTATCCGTATGAGTATATATATATACATAATTTACATAGTGGATATCATCACTCACCTCACTTCACTCACCCAGCTCTGTCGAAGTCTCCAGATCTCCACACTCACCAATTTCACCATCTTCACTCAACTCTCAGACACACTATCATCCTCTTATCAACTCTTTCATCCTCCAACACCCTTACCGTCACTATACATTTGGTGAACCAACATCTTGACATCCTCCCTCTCCTGTCGATGTTCCCGTTTCATCCTTTTCATCGGTACACTTTTATTAGTATTTTTTGTTTATTCAATACTTATTTGATTATATTGAACTTGAATAATGTGTTTTTTTATTCGTTTCTTATTTATGAACACAACTCCATTTCGGTGACTCGTGAGGACCGGGGCAGATTGACGAAGCCAGAAAGCTTTCAGATCTGTGGACGCTTATTTCTGGCGAACGCTTTTTCAGTGTAATATGCTTACATTGTCTTGTTTATTTGATGTTACGTACTGCCTTTTTATTTAAATGACATTCGTCGCAGGAAAATAAGATATACAAATGGATTTTAACATCAATATTTGAAATAGAATTAGAGCCTAATTACACTATACATTCTTCTTTAAATTAGATGTGCTATGCGTTTTTAAAATGAAAACAACAAATTGAAAGAGATGGTACAAACTCATCCTCAACCTTTTAAAGTGGTAATTATAATGTGTGTTAGTTACTTATTTGATTTGTGTCATCATTACTGATAAAAGGGTGTTATAAGATGAGATGTTATTATATTTATTTAACCTCGTTTTCATTTCTTTCACAGCATCCTCAATTACTCATTCTTTAATAACCATTGTAATGAGCTAAAAGATTCACAGTTAAAAACGACTACTCTTAAATATAGCAAGTCAGGTTAGAATTATACTACTAATTTTCCATTATTCATTGTCAGTTGAGTGAATATGAACAATAGATCTGGTGTGTGAATATGATATTTTATTCTAAATTGTTTGGATCTGTGTGTTCTGGCCTGCATTTTACAAAACCATTTCAAACATGGAATTTTCTAAAACAATTAATACGTATGCACTTAAACATCAATATTTTGAATAGGATTTAAATTTAAGTACATACCCCAAAATTTAAGTACATACCCCAATGTTCTTAAAGGTAATCTATGCTACTTGTACCTTTTCTACGGATTTCTGAATGGTGTTACTATCTATGCACTTAATTTTATATTTGTCTAAAATTGAAAATTGGAAACGAATATACATGAGGGTATGAAATGAGTTATTAAAACTAGGTACCTTGAATATCATCGTTGCTCCTCTTTTTTCTGAACCTACGGAGCACCTTTTTTTGTGTTGCCTAGATACTGATATTAGTTTATGATATTTTCAGCTTGGATAAGGCGATTCAATAGATGGATGTGTCCCAAAAATGTGTCGTGTGGATGGTGGCATACCCTCCTGCTCATGGAGTCGCCATACATGAATGGATTTCCGCCTTTTTGTTGAATGCTTTGGGACTCATTCAGCAGCATGTGCAAAATGGTCCTGGATTACTTCCTATATTCTATTTGCATAATTTAAAAAATATATAATTTGATTACACACATTTTTAGTTTGTTTTTGCAAAGAAAAATCATATATTGCATATAGAAATATATGTTTTTGTATATATGTTATTGAATGAGTTACACATATATATATACATCCGTATGAGGGTAAATGATAAGTATTCTAAGTAACCAACTAGCTACGTATATGCTATAAACAAGGAGTACAAGTGCAGTACACATGCAGTACATATAACGTACGTGTACATATGTACATGTTACGTATAATAATGTGACATGCTCAATTATTATTTAATACGCCCCCGCAAGATGGAGGATCCGTCGGAGACTCCCATCTTGGTCCGAAATTGAAGGAACGGAAGCTTGCCCAGTGGTTTAGTAAGAATGTCAGCAAGTTGGTACTTGGTAGAGATATGACTAACCCGAAGTTGACCACGTTCAATAAGTTCCCGGACAAAGTAAAAGTCCAAAGCGAGATGCTTCATGCGGGAATGAAATACCGGGTTAGTGCAAACATATGTGGCCCCTTGATTGTCACAAAACAGTTGTGGTGGAGTGGAAATTGAAATACCAAGTTCGGAAAGAATGTTACGGACCCATAATAGTTCCGCACTAGCATTTGCCACGGCTCGATATTCAGCCTCGGTGGATGACCGAGACACACACTTTTGTTTTGAGGATTTCCACGAGATAATATTGGACCCAAGATATAATACATAGGCTGTGGTAGAACGACCACCATCATGAATACCACCCCAGTCGGAGTCAGAGAAGGCGGAAAGAGAGAGAGTAGTAGGGCGGCGAAGGAACAACCCATGATATAGAGTACCCTTAAGGTAACGAAAGATCCGTTTTACGGCCGCCCAATGATTAACCGTGGGACAATGCATATACTGAGAGAGTTTGTTGACCGCAAATGAGATATCCGGCCGAGTGAAATTTAAATATTGTAGAAGACCGAGGGCCCGACGGTATTGGCTGACCTCATTAAAACCTGGACCATCATGGAGATGTAAAGTAGCAGAAGAGCTCATTGGAGTTGTGGTGTCCTTAGCATCCTGCATACGGAAGGTTTCAAGGATATGCAAGATATACTGCCGTTGGGAGAGAAATAGTCCATCCTTGGTGGGAATAACCTCAATGCCAAGAAAATGATTGAGGGCACCGAGATCCTTTACCGAGAACCGGGAAGTGAGTTGGGAGATAAATTTTTCAATAGCCGTGGAGGAATTCCCTGTGAGAATAATATCATCTACATACACCATAAAATATAATAAAGTGCCATCACATGAGTAGATGAATAACGAAGCATCAGCCCTGGACTTTTTAAAACCAACCGAAATGAGAAACCGGGTTAATTCTAGATACCAGGCTCGTGGTGCCTGTTTAAGCCCGTACAAAGCCTTTTGTAATTTACATACATAGTTAGGCTTAGTAGGGTCTTTGAATCCCGGTGGTTGAGCCATGTAAACCTCTTCGGACAGCGTCCCATGCAAAAACGCATTGTTGACATCCATTTGTCGCAATGGCCAGTTGCGAGCGAGAGCAATAGTCAAAATAATGCGAATTGTGACCGGCTTAGCAACCGGACTGAATGTTTCAAAGTAATCACGACCCGGTTGTTGGAGGAATCCCCGAGCCACCAAACGAGCTTTAAACCGTGCAATACTACCGTCTGCATGGCGCTTTATTCGAAAAAGCCATTTACAAGTAATGGGCGTGTGACCATCAGGCGGAACAAGCTGCCATGTTTGATTGCGATCAAGAGCACCCATTTCCTCCTCCATGGCAGCCTTCCAGCGTGGGTCACTCAGGGCTTGCTTCACACTAGTAGGTTCAAGGGCAGGGGGTATGGGATGTTTGGTGGTGGTGTTAATAAATGGTCCGCCAACATATTTGGGGTTGGGTTTACGTATGCGGGGTGGACGAGGATTAACTGATGAATGATGAGGAGTGTGAGTACTCGGTGGGTTTGGGGTTATGGGTGTTGTAGGAGGAGTTGACACTTGGGTGTTGTGTGGTGAAGGGGTAGACACGTGGGTGGTAGAGGAGAAATGGGAGTTGTTGGCATGTAAAGTGGAGTGGGGTGGAGGGGATAAGGTCAACTGGTGACTATTGAGGGAAGAATTAAAATTTGAATTATTGTTGGGTGGATTGCTGTGCACGTGGGTTTGTTGGGATAGGATAGAAGGGTTAGGCGGTGGAGGGGTTTTAGGAGGATAAGGGGGATTTAAAATGGGACGGGAATTTAAATTCAAATTATTTTGAATTCCCGAGAAGTGCTGCGGGTCAATGGATGCACGGGCGGTTTGCATGCATGCATGTATGGGAAGAGACGGATTTGCACCAGGGAGAACATACAGAGGGCTGCGTGCGGTAGAAGCGGATCGGAGTGGAAAAATATTAGGCACAAATTTTACGTGCCGACTAACATAGACGCGATTATTTTTATTAATATCAAGGCATAGATACGCTGATTGAGAGGTGGAATACCCCACAAAAATACACGGACTAGACCGTGGATGAATTTTTGACTCAGAGTATGGACGTAACCATGGGTAACAGAGACATCCGAACGGTCGAAGTTTTGAGTATTTAGGTGGTTTTTGAAATAACCGAGAATAAGGTGAATTATTATTTAGAACCGGCGTGGGTAAACGGTTAATGAGGTACACTGCGGTTTGGACTGCATATGACCAGAATGAGAGCGGTAAACCAGAATAATGAAGTAGCGCAAGTCCCGTATCAACGATATGACGATGACGGCGCTCCGCTAAGCCATTATGTTCTGGAGTATGAGGTGGTGTGGTAAAATGAGATATACCATTTGAACTTAGATAGGGACGGAGTTTAATAAACTCACCTCCATTATCGGAAAACAACGAAGTGATGGTATGATTAAAATACTGCTCAACCAATTTGTGAAATTGAGGAAATATTTGAGCTACGTCACTTTTTGATTTAAGTGGATATAACCAGGTGTAGCGTGTAAAAAAATCCACAAAAATGACATAATACCGGTAACCATTAACTGACTCGATATTGGTACTCCAAACATCAGAATAAATAAGCTGAAGTGGACGAGTTGCAGACATGGAATTAATTGAGAATGGCAATTTAGTACTTTTATTGACAGCACAAGAGGAACAATGAAAATCTGAAGATTGTGTACAACGAATTTCATTATTATTGAGACGAACTACATGATTAAATATACTACGAGCTGGGTGACCGAGAGTGTGATGCCACCCGGAAACATCTGAAACTTGAGTGTGATTTATTGAAGGTGAAACTGAGATAGGTGCATGGTAGACATCATGCATGTTCTCCCCGCGCATGAGCGGCGCCCCCGTGACCAGATCCTTGACAAGAAAATGAGACGGAAAAAATTCAACAGACACATGATTAGTTTTGCACAATTTAGCAACAGAAATAAGGTTTTTGTTAAGACGGGGTACACATAGAACGGTAGATAGTTTAAGGGGACGAGAATGGGTATTTAGGGTAGTGTTACCAGTGTGAGTAATCCTGAGTGACTTACCATCGCCAAGGCGGACCTCTTCAGGACCACCATAGTCAGTATATGTTGGTAAGACAGAGGCATCCGAAGCAACGTGGTGTGACGCCCCACTATCAAAAAGCCATGATTGATCATTTGGGGACATCACAGTAGATGTATGATGTGCAACTGGCCCGGCCGTATTTGAGGGATATGGGACATGGTTGTCCCGTAAGAACCGTTGGAGCTTCCGGCAGTGTTTGACATCATGTCCAGAATGATCACAGAACCGGCAGACCAGTGGAGTACCGGCTCCACGATTGCTGGGCATGAAATGACCACCTCGACCACGACGGTGTTGAGAACCACGGCGGTCACCATACGCTGGTCGGCGATCCTGGGTGCGTTCAGCAGCTTGTGTAAAGTTGGCCGTCGGAATGATAGGAGCATCCAGGATTTGTTGATCCTGCAGAAGTTTCTCACGCTCCAGCAAAATATCCTGGAGTTCGGTCAAGGGCAGTGATGCAGTCCGCACACGAACAGCGGATATGAGATCCCTATAGTCCGCACCAAGGCCGTTGAGAATGCTAACGACCAGATCTTCATCAGAAACCGGGCACTGTGCTAAGGCAAGATCTTCAGCAATGGAATACATTTCCGTGAGATAGTCCGTGATTGCACGATTACCTTTGGTGGTGCGTGCCAAGGTTGTTTTGAGAGAAATAATTCTCCCACGTGAAGTGCTAGCATAAGTGTTAGCCAGTTTTTCCCAAGCCATGCGTGCCGTTGTGACGGACGAGATGAGTGGTTGGATCGTGTCAGAACAACTCCCGAGGAGAGCACTCAGGAGAGTTTTATCCTGACGATACCAGATTTTGTAACACGGATTGGGAATAGTTTTGAGATCATCGGTGAATGGAGAAGGAGGTGTGATGGTGCCATCGATATAGCCTTCAAGCCCTAACCCGATGAGGGCAGATTGGACTTGGCATTTCCAAACAGGAAAGTTGGAAGAAGTGAGTTTGATAGGGAAATTTGCAGTAGCAGTGAGTGGGATAACAGTTGTTTCGGCGGTGATGACCATGATGATCAAGGAGGAATAGCCGGAAAAAAAAATAGTAATGAATGTGAAAAAGCTCTTTTAGAGAATGGCTCTTGATACCATATAGAAATATATGTTTTTGTATATATGTTATTGAATGAGTTACACATATATATATACATCCGTATGAGGGTAAATGATAAGTATTCTAAGTAACCAACTAGCTACGTATATGCTATAAACAAGGAGTACAAGTGCAGTACACATGCAGTACATATAACGTACGTGTACATATGTACATGTTACGTATAATAATGTGACATGCTCAATTATTATTTAATATTGCATAGTCAAATTTGCGTTCTCAGCAAACGCACGGTGCATACACAATTGTGTCCAAACCCGTGTCCATACACAATTGTGTCCAAACCCGTGTCCAAACCCGTGTCCAAACCCGTGTCCAAACCCGTGTCCAAACCCGTGTCCAAACCCGTGTCCAAACCCGTGTCCAAACCCGTATCCAAACCCGTGTCCAAACCCGTGTCCAAACGATATTTCTTCCTTTCGGTCTCTCCGATGTGTCCTCATGATCGATTGTGCGTTTTATTTATAAAACCATTAAATTTGTTTTTCTTGTTTTTATAAAACGATATTTCTTACGTTGTTTTTTCTCCGATGTGTCCTCATGATCGATTGCCACTAATTCCAATGATTTGTGGCATTGTTACTGTATGACGGGAAAGCATACAAACGAATAAACCCAGCAGGAGGAAAGGTCTGAAGCCACAGTTAGAGATGACAATTGTGACCGATCCGATGGATACCCGCACCAAACCGCCCCGGTCAAAATGAGGAAAACCGCATTGACCGGGTAATGGGTACGGGGTGGGGAGTACGGGGTGGACTCGGGCCGGAACGGCCCGGAACCGGACCGGCCCGCTACTGTGCAGGCCCGGACCGGCTCGCTACTGTGCGGGCCCGGACCGGCCCGGTGAACCGGTTTGTGCCCGGTTCGGGCCTCCCGGCCCGGTGGTATAGCGGTCCGGGCCCGGGCCTCTAGTTTAGTGAACCGGCCCGGCCGGAATTTATTTTTTATTTTTGGAAATTTTTTTAAGTTTTGGGTTGGATTAGGTATTTTGGGCCATTTGGGGTGGTTTGGGGTGGAGAGGGAGGGGTAGGGGGTTAAATCCGGGTGGCCTGGCTCGGTCTGGCCCGGAACCGGACCCGGACCCGGAACCGCCCACCACCGGTTCAGGCTCGGGCCTCATTTTTCTGAACCTAGGCCCGGCCGGGCCCAGGCCCGAACCGGGCCCGAACTGGAACCGGTCCACCCCTAAAATACCCATGGCGGGAACAGTTATAGCCAGGCGATCCTCTTTTTATATTATACAAAGATATAAAGATTATTGACTCACTCTTTTTTTGTTAACGAAATCCCCACTATATTAAATAATTAAATCATTAGTCAATTGGCGTACAAGTACATTCGGGCTAACCTCATAACTATTGCTAAGATTTGAGAGGGACACATGCGCTCGAGCCAGATCATGGCCAACATGATTCGTAGATTGTTTACAAAAAAGATGCTAAAATTACTCTTTGTTTGAAGCAAATATCTAACTAATATCATCAATAATCAAATAAGTATTCTTGTCCCATTTTTACACCATTTATCACTAGTTGGGCTCAGATTCAAACTCCACCTTATTCCACCCTTCCCGAATAGCTCCTAGGCTTCAGTCTGTCGGTGTCCAATTTGCTATTTTTGATCTCCCATAAGCCTTAACAAATTCACCGCATAGCGAGCAACTTGGCCCCAAGCTCTAATCACAACTAAGTACCCATGCTTTCCCTTGCCACTCCTTCCACACCCAATTATTTCTTCGTTTCCAAATACTCCATGTCAGCATAACAAATTTACTTCTATCCTCCTTAGTTAATTGCTCTAGGCATGCTCGAACCCATTCTTTTGCCATATTTGCTCGCACCTCGAACCCAAAACTAGCCATATTTGCTCGCACCTCCATGGCATGGTCACTCGCCCGCAACGCGTGCTCCGCCGACTCCGTGCACAATTTGCATTTCAACTCTAATGTTCTTGTGTTGGAACAGAGCCGTCTAGCATTTGCCACTTGTGGATGAATTATCTTCTTGATTAGTTATCCAACTTGCATCCGTATAAACCTTCTAATAGAAGGTCCAATCATTTAACATAAGCCGTAGCTTATTGTTTTCTTTAGATATTCGGCACTCGCCTCAATGCTTGCCAATAAAATATACTAGGGTGCTAGTCACTACATACATCAAACACTCAATTACCCTAGTGTATTTAAGTTGTGATATATCATTCCCATTATTTGGAAATAATTTCCATAGGTTCCATAGGAGTGGAAACCAGGGAACAATCCATACTCCCAAAACTTTTCAACACTTTTTCTATATAGTGAGATTGTGTTATGGTGATAGTATCACCTTGCCTAATTATCCTAATCCCAAGGATAACTTCTGCTTCACCCATATTTTTCATGGAAAAGTTTGAACAAAGGAAATATTCTCTTTCACTTGTCTCAAATCAATGTCAAATATGATCATGTCATATACAAACAAATAATAACACCATTACCATGCTTATTAAATATACCATGCTTATTAACACGTGTCATCTAACTTTTGATGTCATTGTTTAGGTGCTTGTTTTAGACCATATAAGAAGTTGACAAGTTTACAAACTTTTGTTTTCTTGTCCTTTAACAACAGCCCTTCAGGTTGTTTCATATACACCTCCTGCTCCAATTCACCATTCAAGAATGCAGTTTTGACATACATCCATTTGGTGAATCAGCAGATTGTGAATGACCGATAAACATGTAGTAAACTTTTCATGATTGGTTCAGGCTCATATATAAGTTTAGGCCCATTTCAACAGTTGAGCTCACTCTGGAAGTACTCAGACACACCAAATTACCAAATTGTTCACTCTGGAAGTACTCAGACACACCAAATTACCAGATTGGTAAGAAAAAACAACTTGAGACATATTGGTAAAAAAAGAAGCCTTCGTGACAAATCGGTCAATTTGTTTGAGTGATATACTTTTGATCCTCGACTTTATAATTCCCGATATTTCATATTCTAAGTATTGTGAAATGGACATTTTCCAGTCCTTTTATTTTAATTTTGTCATCAAAAGTGGAGGTCTACAATTGTCAAAGACCATGTTTGATAATAGCAGTTGTCTGCTAGCTAATAGCGAATCAACAAATTGATAATAACGGATTTCATCTGCTTTTATAATAACCACTTTCATTAGCGTTTGAAATAAAATGTTAGTAACTTAATTGTTTGCGATTAAATGTCACAACGTAAAATGACCATTAAAGATATGAATTTGTAATTATATATATATTTGTCTTAGCTTTATTTCTTTTATTTGTAATTATTTTTAATAAGTCTTTGAAAAGGTTTTAAAAATTATATTTACATCTATTTTAAATAACCATGGAGTAGTTTTTAAAAAAATAATACGGAGTATTAAATAGTTATATGGACTAGAATTTTGAGTAGATTTTTTTTATATAAAAACTAATAAATAGTCATATGTAAAATATTAATACTAAGATATACTCTGATGATTTTATATGTGTACTCGCTTTAATGTACATATCTTAAACGTAAAAATAAGTTTAAAAACTTTTAGATTCATTTATAATGGTCATTTTATGTTTGAATAGCTAATTGCAAATTTTAAGTTACTAACATTTTATTTCGAACAGCTAATGAAAGAGGTTAATTAAAAAAACTAACGGAATCTGTTAATATCAATGTGCTGATTCAACCACCTATGAGCTAACAGAAAACCGCTATTATCAAACACGGTCATTGACATTTTTAGACTTCCACTTTTGATGATAAAATCAAAGTAAAAAGTCCGCAAATATCAATTTCACAATATTTAGAATATGAAATGTCAAAATTCTACCATCCAAAATCAAAAGATTATCACATACTCCCTCCGTCCCCTTTTAAAAGTCCCGGAAGAAAGTGGCATGGGTTTTAAGAAAAGTGGGTTTGTGTGTTGATATTAATTGATAAAGTAGGAATAAAATAAGAATAAAGTAAGAATGATTTTGAGCTACACAAACTTTACCAAATGAGATATGAGACATTTAAACAGGGACATCCCAATATGGTAAAATGGGACATTAAATTGGGGACGGAGGGAGTACAAAAAATTGATCAATTTAACACTTGTTTTTTTTTTTTACAAATATGTGTCAACTAATATTTTTACCAATTTGTCAAACCACCTTTTTTTTGGTTTGCTTGGCGCACCCCCAATTTTGCTTTACGTAACCTTAGGTTCACTATTTTGCCCCCTAATTTTTTTAACTTAAAAAGCTACGAAGTATTACACCGTATAATTACTTTCTTTAAATTAGGAAGAAAACCCATTCTACAGTAGTATAGTACTATACGTTGCCAGCCTGCCACCTCTACTAATTTCATTTAATGACTCAAAATTGGTTCAATTTAAATTGACGTGGAAATAACATATTTATAAAATGTGATGTACAATAATTTTTTATAAAATGCTATGGAGTATATTTTCACTTGTTTCCTGATTTTAACAAAAGTATATCAAATTGAATAAATTTTTATGGTCTATGACACAAACATTCCAGTTGTAAAATTCTAAAAAAACATTCTTTTTATTAGATTTTTACTTTAATAGGTTGTTCCTTAAGTATTACTATGAGTAAAAATGTCATTTAAGTATCACCATAGTCACTACAATGTAAATGCGGACATCATCATTATCACCAAAATTACAATTTTAATCACTGGTTTAAAGTATAAAAATTCACGTTACTTTTCAGGGGCGGAGCCAGGGCACTGGGCCGCGGACTGAGCCGGCACAAAGAATATTTTCAGAAAAAAATTTACCCGAAATTTTTTACCTTAAAAATTAAGTCATTTTTAAAATTTGGGGTGAGCCATTACCTAGGTTGGCCCACCCCTAGCTCCGCCCATGGAAAGAAGACTTGAGATACAAATTGCGAGGCGGATGAAGTGATCTATATGAAACAAGATAGATGAATACCTCATAAGTCTACAAGTTACAGGCAGTTTTTTTTAGATCAC